TGGGGGGGGGCGGGGAGACATGACCACACTCTTAAAACTGAATAAAACGCAGACCTGCTGGATATTGATTTGTCTTTGTCACATGTAATTGTCTCCATACAGACGCAGGGCGCTCTTGACTAGGTATTATTTAGATCAGTAGATCATGCCTTCGGTTTGTTTCTCTGATACATTCCATTGGTTAAAGAAAAAATAAGACTTACCCCTCCGGGAAGCAATGCATTTATTTTAAAAGGTGCGACAGTAATTCTCACGGGCAGATTCGTGGACTAAATACATGCCTTTAAACGTGTAAGCAATTTAATTCATCTCAAAGGAGGTCAGAGTGGTGTGTGTGCCAAAATGCATCCCAAGTTCCTTATTTGAAAACTTCTTTGGCACTGGGAATAAATAATGCATTTACAGTAAAAAATAAAAGTCAGCAAATGTTTATTTTCTTCTGAATGTTTTCATTAGTAATGTAATGCTGTGGAAAGAATATATACAATAACTTTACTAGTCTAAGTTCTTAAATTGAAGATGAAATTCATTTCACTCTAAAATTGGTCATATAATTAAAAGCCTTTTCTTTGGGAAATATAAAGTGCTCACATTGTTTGTTCAACACAAATGTGCAGGTATTGTAACCAGCCCAATATTTTCTGGTGGAAAACTACTCTAGGAACCCATATATTTATAGGATTGAGTAAAAGAGGAATAGTTTTAAATTTTTTGACAAATTTATTTGGGGGTTTATTATAAAATGAAGTAGCTTCTTTTCTGGATATCAGTCTACATATAGTTTTGTGAAATAATCCTGGAATTAAATAGTTAGCCTACTGAATATGTAAAATACAGCAATGAAATAGGAGAAAAATAGTTTCCTTTGTATAATAGTCTAGCTAAAAGTTCAACAGAGTAAATAAAATAGTCCAACAATATTGAAACTTGGAATATAGCAACCAGGATTTTTATTACAGACATTTTGGCACGGAGGTGGGGTGGGGGGTGCAGGGATGGTGGGTGGAGGGGGGTCGGATCTGATTTCATAACGGATAATTTATTATGCATTACTTTAGCAATGCTGCAGTTGATTTTATTGCCACCAGAGGGCAGAAAAACTGCTATTTTCTATTTCCATTTTCCCCCAAATCTCTGATTAATGATCCTTAATATTTTGTTTTTACTATGTGCAATATTTTTCAGTATTTCAGCTTTTATAAACGAGTGGCAGTTTACTATAATGAGAGTTTATCATCTTTTTTGTTTTCACTGAAATTAACTAAATATTAATTCATTCAGCCTCCTAACGTAAAAAGACCTACACATTGAATACATTCTCATGTTATAATTAGTGCAGTGGAAAAAACAAATATCCTCTTTTGCTTTATTGCTGCAGGTTATTAAAATATTACTGTGGGATTCCCAAAGATATAGCCTTAAAATACCTCTCTTTTTAAAAGTTCATTGTTATTAATTTAATTTTAGGGTTGAATATACTTTATGCACATCTGAAAAGCATTTTCTCAGACTAAATAGCATATCTCGATACCTATACTTAGAGAAAACTAAGCTTATGATTTTAAATTTTATAAATCTCAAGTCATCTATTATAATACATTCATTTTTATATACTAAACTGATTAAAAACAGTTTAGTAACAATGTCAAAGGAGAAAGATGTATTCATGCCTTGAGAAATTCTAAACTTTAAGTGAGGGAAAGAAAGGCCTAAAATATATAGTTAGATTTTGATCTGATTATTTCTCTTCAATGTGACTTAATGCAACAAGGAAATTCTATTACCACCATATATAGAGAGCAAAACTAGTTTAGGACCCAAAGGAATTTTAACTTTGAAAATTTTCTAATATTGTTATGTTCTAGGGACAAGCAGTTATTTTAGCAGCTTATTTATGTTTATTTTAGTTGTTTCTCCAGTTGGATATTTTTCTATTATTTGTCTGCTTTCATTGCAATTACAAAACTTAGTTCCAAACATTACTAATTTGTGGAATTCGTTATGAAAGTATCTCTGTTGAGACATATTGTCACTAGTATAAATTTTCAAACTGCAAAAGACATGGGTCAGATAATCAACAAGTGACAGCCATTACTTGTGACTGCATGCAAAAATTTTTAAAATCAAATGAGAGAGTCTTTTTCCTTTAGAGAATAGATACAAGTTGAAGCCTGGGGTTGGGCAAGTTTAGACTGTGACATCAGTGTGATCGAGAACATTTATGTCAGAGATAAGGCTTTAGTTCATGGGTGTTTGCACAGAGAATTTGAATTCTTATAGTTAGGGCAGTCTGTGCACTTGCAAAGTCTGATCTTTAGAAACAGGTTCTTATCCCGGAGAATATGCTTAAGTAAAGATAATAGAAGATACTCATTTGCTCTAAACAGGTTTCTTCTCTGAAAGAATCATACTTCATATTTTTTATGCAGAGATATAGATAATATGGATTCATTTCAATTGGTTTTGTCTCAGTTTTTTGCTTTCTAAATGATATCGTCTGTGGTAGACACAGTATTTTTATAAAGATGACTGAACTGATCAACAACTGTGATCATGAGACCTAAAATCTTGAGCCATTTCCTTTAAATACTGTCTCTTCACTATGGCCTTCAAGCCCGTGTGGTCTCAAACTATTTTCCCACCTCTCTCTCCTTTGTTTTTTTTAACACTCTAACCAAATGTGGCTCCTTGATGTTCCCTGAGTATGTATCACGTGTTGCTATCTCTTTACCATTCCTTGAGGTCACGATCTATGGAATTCATTTCTGAATCTCCTGCGGCATCTACCACGTAGGCGTGCAATAAACAACTGTTGAACTGAGTGGAATTATGGTTTAAGCTGGATGGACTGTTGACTTGAATGTCACCTCGGGAGACGTTTTCCTACCCTTTACTCTATCACTTCAATAAGTGGAAATGAATCTGTAGACAGGCTTCATAGAATAAAGTGCGAGGATAGGACACAGAGGTCTGCCCAACTGTTAGAATGCATCTGGTGGGTGATACTTACACTCACCTTTCTATAAATATATAGAACTTCCAAAAAGTTTTATTTTACCATCCTATTATACTTCTGGTTTCTGACTGAATTTTCTCTCATGTTCTTAATCCAATACCTTTAAGTACAGCATGTGCATGTATATGAAAATGTACATGATATGCATACAAATATATCAGTGCTAGTCTAGTTTCAGTGGAGA